ATCTCTCAGGCAGCCAATCAAAAGGATTTTAGTAGAAACCTGATTAAGGTTTTTATTTGTTAGTATGTAGGAATGTGAGAGGGGGTGTTTGTCTACTTTCTGCACCTTTCTCTTAAGAAATTCATATGAATATTTAAAAAATACATTGGTCTACACATTTGCGGGATTGGCATTGGTTTGCGCATGGCACTGACTCGGCCAGGGTCTGGGATTTGAGTCCTGCCAGTGAGGAGTGCACAGATCCCTCCTAGCCCTTGACAGGAGCAGCTCTAGTCTCTCTTGCCTTCCATGACTCCAACAGGATTTATGGTACTAAACCAAACACATTTGCAGTTGTGGGTTTTCCCAGCCTTTTGTTTCTGCTCCGCTGGGCTCAAATCACATTAATCAAAGTTCGAGTGGGCATACTTTTATAAAGCAGCCTGATTGTGCCTCTCTCGGCCTTGGCACATTGTTCTGCTCATCTGACAGCCTTGTGACTGTGAGAGCAGCGGCCTCGAATGACAGTGTGCAGTTCCTTTGGTGTACACAAGGGGGCGCCCAGGTGTGGATTTACTCACTGTTGCTTGGGCATCCATCAAAAAGCAGTTGTAACTTCCAGTTTCCCTTGTTTCCTGTGTCCCGGTCGGTTTGTTTAAGGTTCTAATTATTTGCCTTCGATTTCTCTTTAAACTGTCAAATATAGACACATTTTCATATTGCTCTGAAAGGTATTTGTGCTCTTGAAAATCTTTAAAGCAAAAAAAGAGGAAAAAGACAAAACTTGAAAGGTCCCACCGTGGTAAATATAAGAGAAAAATACAAAATTATACATAGGATTATGGTTGTTGAGTCTTCACTAGTATGGCCTTTCTTTCTTTTCTTTGTAACCATTGTGAAAGCCTGGTTTACGATGCAGAGGATGTCTTTGATCATCAAAGGGGAATAGCACACAAACAGTCACGTTATGATTCCAGAATGAATGAGAAAGCACTGGCCAGTGTATTTTTTTTAAATCAGGAATGATACACTTTGACACAAGACCACAGAAGGTTTTTAAAATTAACCCCAGGAGCTCCCTTTAGTTCTGCCTTGGATGAAGAGAGGGTGTTTTCTGAACATGGGAAAGTCCAGGAGGACCGGTGAGTAATCTTGTCTAAGCTTTTTAAATGTCAAGTCAACATCGACCCTCTGTACCCTGTGTGTGTCTGGGACACAGGTGAAAGGAGACCCTGAGCCCACGGTGCTCTGGTACCGAGACGGGGAGCCCGTATCCGAGGGAGGGTGCTTCCACTTCCAGCGGATGGGCGAAGGGGTCTATGTGTTCACGGTCACGGATGTCAACTCCGAGAGTGCCGGCCGATACCTCTGCCACATCACCAACTGCGCTGGCACCGAGCAGACCACCGTCCGGCTGGAGCTCAGGGGTGAGCTGGTACACAGGGGGAGGGCAGAGCGCAGGGATCTCCACCCCTGCCCCGTCCTGCAGGCTTTGTAGGGAACCATTAGATCACCAGTTTCCGGAGAAGTGGAATAATTCCGGTGTGAGCAATTAGGCAGATAGTGAATGAATTAATTTAGAGATCATCCATCCATCCATCCATCCATTTTCTAATCATTTTATTCAGTGCAGGGTTGTGGGGATCCGGAGCCTATCCCAGCAAGCAGTGGCCTCAAGGCAGGGTACACCCTGTACAGGACCTCAGTACATCACAGGGCAGACACACAAACACTCACACACTTGCATCAGGGACAGTTTTTAATTTTCCAAGTAACCTACCAGGATGTCCTTGGATTGTGGGAGAACACCAGAGCATCCAGAGGAAACTCCTAGGAAACTAGGAAACCTAGGGTCCCTGCGGTGTGAGGCAGCAATGCTCAACTATTTCTCTCTTTTATTTAACTATTGTTTGTTTCTTTTCAGACCAGCTGAGGCTGCCAGGTGGGAGTCAGAGTAGCCTAAAGTAAGTAGAATTCTTATATGAAGCAGGAGGGGGAATCAGTGCTTAGAAAATGGATCTACACCTATTCATTTCCTCACCACCCCTCTGTCAGTCTGTATATTACATTTGTATTAAGTATATGTATTTTGAGTACTTTAACAAATTCATCTTAAATTAAACCAATTTTAAACAAAATACTAATTCTCAGAAGTGTTTCAGTGCTCATTGTCTTTTAGAATTTCGATACTCTGACCAAGATCTTTCTTCTCAAGAAAAGTGCTAAACACTAAAGTACATTAATGCTATAGCACAATTTTATATACTTTGAATATGTATTGCTTTCATAATTTATAAACAAGAATAACACTTGGAGTGTTACTGATTTTAAGTAATTTGAGTATTTCTCCTGTTGTTTAGTATCTGAAATGACTAATTTTCTTTCCAGCTGAAAACTACAGATGCAATAGAATGATTTAGTAAATCTCTGTAAGTGTTACATATACAGTATATGTGTGAGCATTTCAGTATAAAATCTAAAAGGTTTTTTATCTCTTGTCTGAATTACTGCAGTGTTTTGGTCCTGTTTTTATCGTCAACAGCGGGTGTGAAAATGTTTTACTTTAGAGTACTGTAATATCCAGGAAAAAACAATTCTACAAAACTTTTTTCTGGGCTTAGTTCCTTAATTGGTTTAGAGTCCCAAGGCGTTAGTACCATATATGCCTTGGGAATCTGTCGTGTCTGTGAAACATCCTCTAAGGATTCCTGGAACTTGTGCTCAGATTGTTTCACTTGTTTTTGAGTGCATAACCGTTTCCCATATAAGTATATAAAATGGAGCAACTACACCCATTTCATTTAACCTTAGTGGGTACGTTCATGAGTAATCACAAATGTTTGTGTTTGTTGGTGTTTTGAACACAATCAGGAAAATGCGCACAGTAGAATAATGGCAGTGTTTACATCAGGCCTAGTCTACATTGCCTCTACAGAAGGAGGAAATCTTGCACAAAGGAAAACAATATTACAGGGCGTCGAATCCTGCATCCACAGAGCCGTGTGACTGTGCGTTTTCACTCCACTACAGATTAACTCATTCCTGTCTAAAATGGACCAGTTTCACAGCTGGTCCCAGCTCTTCCATTACCAATGCTTAAAGCACCTCGATAACCAGCAGACGCAACATCCCTGCAGGACGAGGACTAGACACCCCTGCAATATTTCTTTAATTGAGCACTTTATTTAATTGATCAATAACTTAGAAATATTTCCTATCATTCCCGATCAGGAGGTTAGGAACCTGTGCTCTAAAATCTGCAGCAGCCAATTTAATCCAAGTCACAGCACCAAAGTAGTTTCACAGCCTGAAATCAAGCTGCTTTCTCAGACCCACCTCTGAATGGATCATCAGACCTGTCCATTGCCACAGGAAGTTGAAATACTCTTCAGAATCAACATGGAGCCGTAGTTTAGAGGCACCACTGGCATAGGCTCCTATTAAGTGTATCAGCAGATTGATTTGTTCATCCTTTTATGTTTCCATCCCGTATTGCATTGGTCTGCAAATAGAGCGCATGGTGTGCCCCAAGTGCGCAACTGCTAGAAAATAACTAGACATACTTACCCTCACATCCACCCATCGACTTCCTAATACACCCTGGACACACCACGGCCAGTTACTTCAGAAGTCAGTTAACTTACTAGCATGTCTTTGGACTGTGGAAGGAAACCGGAGCCTCCAGAGGACACCCACATAAATCTGGGGAGAACATAGAACCCCCCACACAGCCGGCACCCCAGGAATTGAACCAGGGCCTAAGCACTGCACGGCTGCCCCATGCTTCCCCTCCCATTACTATGACGCGTGCTGTGATATTCCGAGGCGATGCGATGCTGGAATGGCAGGAAGTTCCACACGGGAGCACGCATCCTGTCTGGGAATGGCTGTCTGTGTAAGTGATTGCCGTCCTCTCCGTGTGTCCACAGGCGGGTCCGCAGCTGGGGGGAGAGCCACCCGCGCTTTGTCACCAAGCCCTGCAGCCAGACCGTGAGGGCGGGCGAGACTGTCAGCTTCCGGACCAGGGTCACCGGGCGGCCTGCGCCCCAGGTCACCTGGCTCAAGGTGTCTGCCTCTGGGTGCCGTCCGCGAAAAGCATTGTGCAGAAAGGACAAGAAGTAAAACCCGAATGAGCTCAAGCACATGAATGAATGTTAAGAAAAGAACATTGCTTTCCTGTTGAAAACACAGCAGCACACCTGTGTACAGTATGTACTATATACAATATAGGATTCCGTTCACACTCTAAAATCAAAATATTCATCTTGCCACTTACAACCAGGCAGCTGCAAGGGCAAACAGGAGAAAACCGTGTCGGTGGGAAAGACCACCATGGAGTGTGGACTGTGAGGAGGCAAGTTTGCAAAATGAACCAGGCCAAGGTTAGCAAGTTAGCCTGGGAAATGGCAAACCTTAGAACAAGGACAACACCACAGGAAACCGTCAGATCTCCTACTTGTGTTTGAAAAATGTTAGCTGCTCATTTAGCAGATTATTATCAGAGCCCGAATGAGTAGAATAGAGCATTGAGATGGATGCTTGGCCTCTGACCAGAGGTTATTTGTCAAGGGTGGCATGTAATAGTTTACATATTCCATTAATGACAGTTCTGGGCTCCAGAGACATTTTAGAATAAAAACCATTTGTTTTTAACGAACCAAAAATAAAATGTTCTCTTTATAGGAATGAGGTGCTCAGTTCATCTCAAACACAGTACACCAGATTCGATTTCAGGCTGGGGTGCTTTCTGTGGGGAGTTTGAGTGGTCTTCCTGTCATGATTGTGGTCTGTTGGAATAATATGAGGCTCAGAGACAGTTATATTGTAAGATGCCTAGCATGGTTGTTTCCAGTACTTGAGTAATTCAAGGGTTCGGTGCACATTCAATGATTTGGCTCTTACCCCTACGCTAGTAAGTACATGGACCACAAAATAACTTCCCTTCATTGTTCTCAGTCACGCAGTGCAGTTGCCGTCCCCTAAATATGGGAACAGTTCACTTCTGAGGATTTCTTAAACCCCCCCATTCTAGCCTTTCCTGTTTTGAATTCCTGCCCAATTGCTTGGTATGTAACAAGCCTATATCTGATAGCTCGGAGGCCATATCTCATGGACGAGGGTTTTAGAGGAGGTGGGCGAACAAAGGGGACTGAGACAGATTGAAACAAGCAGGGAGCTGAAAGGTCAGAGGAGCCTGATGCACTCACAGCCTTTGGGATTTTACTCTATATGTTCAGAAATCGCCACGTATGAACAATAAAGCCTTTTACTAGATGTACTGGGTGTGAAAAATGGAGCACGGGGCTCTGTTCAAATGTTGGGGAGGAAAGCTTTTGCAGTGTTCTCAGCCATCATGAGTTGGTGCCAGAATCAAGCCAGGTTCATGAATGTTTGGTTATACATAAACTGGGGAGAAAGTTATCTTCCAAATTTTAAATACACACATTGTAAATGAATAAAGGAATCATATAGATATCAAATGGTAACCAAATGGAAAAATAAATCTATTTGTCATCTGTAGTTTTACTTATGTATGGAAAGGTTGAAGATGGAATCAAAATTGGGAGCAATCTGTTACAAAAAGTACAAGTACAACCAGTGCAGCACTGATGTGAAATTGCACCTTGGACAGTTATAAAAAACCTTTCCTTACAAGCCACTTGTTAGGGTTGGAATATTTGTTAAGACGAGCGAAAGCACAGCAGAGAATTGTTGAGATCAATCAGTAAAACAGGGACATGGATAAAATGCAACAAAGCAGCAACTGACGTACAGTAAGCTTGCTGTAGATCTGAATTTCTCAGTGACAAAACTTGATGTACCTGTAAGATTCAGCAGAAATATTAATAGCCGTTAGCATTTGTGTTCGAGTTCAGACTGAGTGCTGCAGTGCACTCGTTGTTCGCATACGTGCCATCTCGTGACTGTGTCTCTCCTCTTTGCAGGACTCTGTGCCGCTGGATGCCAGCGCCGCGGCCCAGGATTTCCACTTGGCTGGGTACTATGTGCTGGAGCTGCGGAAGGCAAGCAGCAAGGACCAGGGCGTTTACACCTGTGTGCTGACCAACCTGGCCGGGCAGACTAGTGCCAGCGCTCAGCTAACCATCAGAGGTGATTGCCGCCAACACAGCCTGCTCCCTCTGCGTCTGTGTACTTTGCACCCCGTTACGCAATGACCCGTTATTGCAGGGCACACAACGTCACAAACACACACACTCACACCAAGGTCAGTCTTCTCAGAAGCCACTTAAGGTATACAAACACACAGAGAAGGCCCCAGCACTATGATGCAGCAATGCTAACCACTGTGCCACACTGCCATCTGCTAGAACAATATGTTGACTGAAATTCTGAAGTGGTCACTGCACCACTAAGGATGATCTTTATCAGAGCAGAGCTCTTTCTGCAGTGTCTCAGGCATGCACGCCTAAGCTTCAACAGACTTCTGCAAAGGCAGAGGCTTTGTTTTGTATTTCTGTGTTTAGCACATTCAAACATGCTTTAACAGTACTGGAGATTCCCACCTGTTTGTACTATTGGTTCAGGTTTCACATCCATAAGCGACCCTGTCATACCACAGTAATTTTCTAAAGTAATTTTCCATGTTTCCGATTTCAATTAGTGCTTCCGTCTCAAGCATGTTGCAATCCGGCAGTGTGCATTAGTGATTAGGAGTAAAACCATCCTTTCAGTAAGCTTTTTGCCTTGCAAGTACTGACAGAGCTAAAGCAAATATCACTGGGCCATTATTTTGAAAATATAAAACTGCAGTTGGCTAATTAGCATATAGAAGTTCGAGTAGCTGTGTCAGCATGCATAGGCTGCATAAGAACAGGTACTGTAAAGGATTGAAGAAGTCTCTACAGCTGGAATGTTGTATTTCTTTTCCTTTCAGCCTGGAATAAACCTAATTAGCATATACATATATATCAGTAATCACAGTGATCCCATTTATAAATTGTCTTTTGAGTAAATACTTCAATGCTAAAACTAGAGCCTCTGGAAAATATAGCTGTAATAAGTAATACTGTACATCTGATCATTGGCATGTCAAACATTTGATGACACCATTATGTTGATGTTATAATATAAATGTTAGCTTTTGTAATTAGCAGTACAGTAACATGTAGCTAAGTGTCCTGAAAAATAGCAACAACCTCAATGTCCTCCTGTCAACAACCTCTAACAAATCGCAGCATCAAACATTAAACAGAAATTGATTTCAAAGACCCCTCTGTCCAAACTGAATCTCAGAGACAAATATTTAAATAGTATGCTAAGAAATTCAGGAGTGGAATCACTTAAATAGTGATGCTTACGTGTGACGAGTCAATCGCACAGACAAGATTTGAACTATGAGCCTTGCAGGACACGGGACCTCACAGCTTTCAGTGTCCCTGTGCCATACCTGCTCTCACCAAAGGCCTCGGCATTCCATCAGGACCTCTTCAGCACCACCTGTTGTGGTGGAAGAGTCGTCCCACCCGCGCCATGGAACTCTGGGCTCTTTATAATCCCCCTGTGCATTGCCTGGGACCTCAGTCATTGCTTGTCCCATTGTCCTCATTGTACTTACTCTTGTGCTCTGACCGTGTTTGCTTGACCTAGGATTCCTGGATTCCCCCTGCACTGCTTGCTGAGTGTCCCTGGCCTTGGACTTGCTTGTACTCCTTGAGTTCTGTCTACAGGTCTCCCTTTGGTACTTTAGTCTGTGCTCTCCTGTTTCAACCCTCTGCCTGCGTTCGGATTGCGGTTTGGGACTTTGTTTTGTTTTCACCTGCTTCTCCCTCACCCTTGCTGCTGATCACCTGCTGCTGGTGCTTCACCCCTGACAGAGTTCTCGCCATTGCCTGCATCTGGATCCAGCCTTTAGTCTCTGATTGCTGCATCATAATGTAAGTACAATGATATTACACCCTGTGAAGCTGCCCCTGCTCTAACAAACTGCCCTTCTCATGATCTTTTCAGATCCCAGCCCTCCAGCCAGCCCAGCCCTCAACTGTACCAGAAAACAGTAAGTACACTAAACAGTTGTGCATAGTTTGTTTAGCCATAAAAAACTGCTGAAGATTTCTAAATGGGTTTCAGTGCAGGAAATTATAAAATGTTTACCAGCACTTGAAGTGGAATTTGATAGCATAACTGAATTTGTCTCTGATCATGACAGTTACATCATCGAGGCATTCTTCAAGTTGCTATTTTGGAATATTTGTCTTACAGTCCTCTCACATATTAATGGCATGTCTCTTGCCTCGGCATTCCATCAAAAAACATATTTCCACCAAATCCTGTGGTATTTAAGGAGCTCCAGAAAGTACTATAAAATATTGTGAAACTTCGGGTTTCAAACCTCAGGTCTCCTTGACTGTGAGGCATGGCAAGAGACTGGTGGATCTGATACAGGGGTTTGCAACCAGTAAAGTTAGAATCCACCAAATGCACAATAAGCCCGTATAAGAATGAATCCTGAACATACTGTAGGTACAAGAGGTCCTCAGATATCCCAGTGAACAAAGTGATAAAGTCTTTCATAAAGTTTATGAAAAATTACTAGTTTTACAACCCAGAATAATGCAAAAAGAAACCACCCTTTACTCAATTAGCTCACACCTTTCTGAAGGCAGTGAGCATAATTGACCCACAAAAAGTGTCTAGCTTTGATGTGAAAGCCCCAGTCTTAGTTCCTGAACCAGTGATATGGAAACAAATAATTTACAAATAATATATTTATTATTTATGATCTGTGAAATACTATTGAATCGCACATGTTACAAACAATCTGATTAAATACCCCAACAAATATGTGCACAACTCTGGTAATCAAGGTGCAAATGCATGTAATTTGTAGTAATAGTACAACTAATCGATGATTTCAGTAAGAAATTGAGTTTGTAATTCAGTGCTTAATTGTAAACTGGTGTCTTAATGACGCAACTGTATTGATCTTCTGGAACTCACATATAGGTTACAGAGCCAAGTCATGGTAAACATTGTGACACATTGATAACTTTTATTCTAATGCATTGTTAATGGCTCTACTTGATTTTGTAAATAAGTAATATATGACTTTACGTAATACAGAAATGTGCAATGTCATGATAAAGAGAGATAAGATTACTATAGGACTTTAGTTTGATCTCTTTTCAGTTTTGTTAGCTGATAAAGCAGAAAAGCAATATGATTAAAATTAATTTGACTTCTTGTCAGTGTGTCAGTATAGAAATACTCAAAATAATATAGCTCAAAATCTCATTTAAAAATTATTTTATCTAAAGGGGTCAGCATCTTATAAATTGAACTGTGCAATGGGACATAAACGATCAACATTGATTCGAAAGGAGATTATGCATTATTTAAAAAAAAACTTATTACAAATACCCAGTAGATCACACCTTCTGGATTTTCTTTGTAGTTCTAAACAAGCTTGGGGGAAGACTGCATAGATATGCTGATGATGCTAACCTTAAAGTCACATAGTTTAAATATGGGAAAGACATCTAGAACACATTCAGGTTATCTGGGTGATGGAGCAGCTGATTCAATAAAAGAATCTCTTTTAAAGTACAGGCTGTTGGAATGCTTGTCTATTCTATACTATGGTAGCTGGCAAGCCCATCTAGATAAACTCTTTTATATGAAGAGATCTGTGAGATTTGTGTTTGTCTGCTACAGTGGTTAGGAATGTGGGTTTAGGGTATGTTTTAAAGGTCACTTAGATCTTAATCCTAGCTGGAAACTGTGGAGTATTTCTTTCAGCCAGGGCTTGATTGAGATGGTTTTCTCCTCTGTAATCCTTTAAAACCCACTGATTAGAGAAAACACAACTCAACAGGAGGCTTACCCATGTGTGAAAACACAAACAAATGTGAAGATCTGAGTGGATGAAGAATGTTCTAAAAATGTGCAAGAGCTGTATCGTGTACTGTACATGAAGAACTAAGAAACACGTAGAGAAATAAGCATTGTGCTAATTATTCAGTTCTATTTGTTAAAATAACCAAGGAATTTTGTTTGCTAAGAGCCCAGGAAAGGGTGAGAGGAGGTCATTGAAGTCATCAAACTTGTTTGGTTACTTATAAAAATGACATCAGTCATATCTTGAAGGTTCCGGAGAATCAGCTTCAGCCTCAAGGCTTTTTAGCTATGAAATGCCTCCTGTTCTGAGTTAAAAATGTACTTTGTTATTTGCAGATGTGTGCAGGTGCTTTTGTTTCACTGAAAGTATGAGGTAATCCATTGAGTTGATTTGTCAATACTTTTCAGGGCTTTGAATAGTTGTATCGCCTTGTAATGTCCTCTATTGAAGACTCCCCTAATGAGTGGTGTGCTTTATGTTGCCTGTGGACGACATTCTCTTTAGACTTATTATTCTGGGTGCTCTTATTTAAACTCTTTTTAGGACAGAGATGTTCTTTTCTTAGTGTAGCGACCACAATTGTGCAGTCTACTCAGTGAGGTCTAACTAATGTATTGTATTATCCCACTGTAATCCCTTATGCACTTTCAATATGACACACCCCAGGATCAGGTATATTAGACTCTCTTCCTTTGAAAAAATAAAATTTCGGTGGAGTTTGCATGTTTTTCCAGCGTTTGTGTGCTCTGGTTTCCTCTCATAGTCCGAAGACTATCTGTAAAATCGGTCCTGGTGTGAATATGTGTGTCTGCCCTGTGATGGTCTGAAGTCCCATCCAGGGTGTATCTCTCCATGTGCCTTGTTTTTCCCAGCATAGGCTCTGCACCATGGGGACCATGAATTGGAAAAGGAGTTTTCGAAAGTGATGTGATGATGGAGTATTTTTATTTGTATTTTCAAAAACATGAAAAGACACATTCTTTGACCCCAAGGCCCTATCCTCCACCTACAGAATGTTTTATTTTTTGTGAATGTAATGATGTAATGATGATGTAATGATGAATTACAAAGAGACCATTTTTTCTTCCCTTTTCATCTGTTCATTTGTGAACTTATTCAGTGATATCACATGAGGCATCCCCTACATTCATGTTTTAAACCTTTACCATGAAGTACGGAGGTCCAGTAAGACCAAACTTGAGGTGCATTTGAGGATCATAAATATGGGATCTTGGTTCCAGATTGCACTTAAACTGGAGCATGTTTATATGATCTTAGTCCTTAAAAGGCTAAATTAGAGTTAGATTACATTTTTATTGATCCCATATTGTTGGCTGTTTTTATTGTGTCTTCAAGTTGTCTTGATTAGAAGATGACAATGAGTGTCAATAATCATTGTAAGCAGTGTATATGAGTCAATATAAACTCCTCTTACAGATTGTTTGTTCTAGGTCAGTGGCACTCATCTGTTATTTATACAGGATAATTTACTGTCTGCATGTCTTACTTTGGACCTGTCTACATTAAATGTGGTCATGTATATGCTCAGTTTTAAAGTTTTTTTATTTCCTTAAGTGCTTCTGTTTCTTTGACCGTTCCTAAAATTAAATTGATTTTCCTGACTGAAACCTTTGCCATACCAATACAAATAATTTTCCAGTTTCACACTATTTAATCTAATTAGTAACTTTCCATATAATAAAGCTAAGACTTACTGGTCTACAGTTGCCTACTCCCCCTTTCGGTAGACAGGTACATTTGTACTATAACTCCTCATTCACTCCTCAAAACTCCTTTTCTGAATGACCATTTGACCCCTGAAAGCTCCTAATGACACCAGTTACCAGTATGTAGCAGTAAACAGACAAATTTCATTGAGCTTTCTACTCATTAGGCCCTCAGGTACCTTATAAAGAAATGTGAGCCTCACGCTCGTTAGTGCAGGATTCAACGCAGCTCGTGAATACATTGAAATGTTAGCGCATGACAGATCAATCGTGTTTTATTAATGATGCAGTTAAAGCAAATCCTTCTGAGGACAGAACATATATTTACAGATAAAACAATGGCATATTGAAAAGTTTGGAGTCTACTAAAAGGGCTTCATAATCAAAGCAGGGGGTCTTGCCTTCCGTTAGTTTTACTGGTGTGTAATCAGGATATCCTGATTCAGGTCCAGACACAAACACGCATATTCTTCACAAAGCAGCAACAATACTTAAGATGTGAGGAGGGTGATTACATTTACTGTACTTATTAAATCACTGAATAAAATGGAACAAATAGTAAAAAATATATATTTGAAAGCCATTAGGTGGTTAAACTTCCACTAAACTTCTATCAATTAAATGCTTAGTTCCAATGCCGAAAAAATGTATATTAAACATCACCCAACCCCAGCAGCGCTTCATTAACTTAGCTCGATAAGGCATCCTGGTTCACATACGAAAGATTTTTATAGAATGAAAAACCTTTAGGCTTTGTTTCTTTTTAGCTGTGCATCGTGCTTTAAGCACCAATAGTGAATTCACATTTAATTTAATTAAGCGCTTTGAGAAGCCACCTTTAAAGGCGCTATATAAAATAAAGTTTATTATTATTATTAATAGTTTAAGCCAGCAAACTCAGTGATTTCAGCCCTGCCACTGAGTGATTTGAATTGGCATTCTTTCCATAATTAAATAGCACACACTGCAGCTACTGTAGTTAACCAGGCTTGCCTGCAGCACTATATTTGGACTTGATCGTGGGATCAATAAATTAGGAGCGGGTGCATCTTTGAAATAGTTTTACAGGGTTTGTATGCTGTGTTATGAACTCCTCATGAAAACAGGGGAGAGAAACTTCTCAGTATTAACAACAGTTTCCCAGCTATCCACTTGTAGAGCGGTGAGTGTTTCTCTTTCAAAAACCAAGAGACCTTGACTGAGAAACATAAACATTACATCAACACCCTTATTTAAGAGCTGCACCCCTGACAGGGTTGTGTGTGATTAATGGTCTGCACTGCCGAGCACAAGGGTAGTGGGCATTGTAAAGGAATTCCATGTAAAATTGCCGGAAGGCTTTAACCGAATATCAAAGTTATACCCACTATTTCACAGCCTTTCCCAATTGGAATTCAGTACACTGTTCCTGGAAATCATTACCATTTCCAGGAGGGAGTGCAATAACCTTGTCTTCCTTGCATTCCTTACCCACGACCTACTGTATAGTGTTCAATATGACTCCTGCCCCCTAGTCATAAACTCAGGAATGGTGTGAATGAACTGATGTCTTAAACGTCAGTGTGAACCTTGTAATCTTTAGCTTGTTAAATCTAAAACTCTGCTTTACCCTTTTTAATTTGCGTATCATTCTCTTTTTAAATAACATCTCCAGCTGTTTGTATTGTGTACTCACAGTTGACAACAGTCATTCTTACATCTCACTTTTCCAACTACAATATATGTAACTCTATAGGCAAAAACGAGAACTGCTGAACAAGGTTCAGTGTCAAGCCTGTCCTGTAGCATGCTTCAAGCACTGTGGTGCATTAGAGGAGAAACAGCACCAGTTCAAGAAACATTGCGTCTCTTATCGACATCACTGCAAGTCTGCAGGTGTTCAAGAAGTCTCTGGAGTCACTGTTGTACCAAAAGACCACAGAGCTCAGCCAGTGCTCTGAAGAGGGTCTGTATCATTGAGGCACTGAGAGACTCTGCCTCTACAATGCTTTTATCATGCTTTCCATCTAGAATTGACATTGTTTTCAGTGTAATTTTTGCTATGCTCCTATACTAAATACTTTATTAGAATAAAGTATTCAAAGACCATGATTTTCTGTAGTTCAGGACACTAATATGACATGGCTCTTGAATGTCTTTACAATCAGATTCAGCATTTTGTAAATGGCTAAGGGCTCTGGTGTTTCTTGGTTTATGATAGGTTCATGTGGAAAAAGACAATCGCACAAAACAATATGAACGTATTATATTAGTATAACATGCTTGCTCTAACTGTAAACTGTTACTCTACTTGAATAAGTTTCAGGGCACCGATTTTATATAAACTGCTTTCATCTGTTTAGGGAGATGTTACATTCTAAATGCGAAAAGCTAACAAAATCATTTCTTTGACCATCACAAAAATACAGGCAGCTTTTGTATTACTGTTTTAACAGCCTGTATATTTATCTACTCCTGCAGGAATTTTGCATGCAGTTACCAGTTACCAGTGACTCCATCCTGAGAAAGACTTTGCTCTTTACATTTGTCACTAAATTAAAAACAAATATATGGTTATAATAAGTGAGTGAGATGTTGAGCTTTTCTTGATTCTAGCAGCAGTTTTGTATTGGCGTTTTATTTCAGTTACTCATAGGAACACTATGCATGTTTTACAAAATGGCGTGAAGAAACATTTCTGAGAATTGTTTATATGTTTTCATCAAAATGGTAGTATTACAGTTCGAGAGACTGAGCAGGAGTGAACCTGTCTCAGAAATGCACGAGTCCCATGTTGTCAATATATACTTTTTGGCACCCTGCTAGTTGTTGTTGTTAAGTTGTAGTTATTAAGCAATGAAATTGGTACCCAGGTTTGAAATTTGAAAACCTATCCCTGAATCAACAGCAATTTCAAATACCCTGTCCTGAGAGACCGTGAACAGCCTGCTGCATTCCAGTGTCTGACTGAAGGTGCTTCACTCACTGGCTGGGGAGATCAGAGGCCTCTGTTCACAGCCTTGTTTTAAAATGCAGCGTCTGGTTATGAGACATTCTGGCTGTTTCCTGGGCAACCTCCTCTGAGGGCAGCTAGGATAAATCCCAGCACACCTGAGGGAGACACAAGACAGACGGTCCCTGGAGTGTGTGAAAGAAAACAGAGATTGCCAAATCTCCTGTCCCAATAAAGGCTTATTTGTGATCTACCTGCATCACAGCTCTTTGTCTAAAAGACAAAGACTTAGGGGGCTTGTGTTTTTTACACAATATTCATTAATTAATCAATTAATTCTACATATTTGTAATATTCTAACACAAATTCCATATAATAAGCCATCCTGTAATGGTCATTCTTTAATAGCAAAATAGAAGTGAATTATTATTAACAATATTAAAAAAGTATCTCCAGATAAAATCACCAGTACTGGAAAGCATATCACTTTTCTCTGTGTGAAAAGAATGTTGTTTTCTGACTAAAATACTGTTTTCGCTACTGCATTTACTAGATATAGACAGACCTTTTCCTGGATTTAGTTTCTGTGAAACCAAAGATAGAATGCTACTGAATGCCACTGAATCGGTTTTGAATGAATTCATAAATCTTTCTTGATATCGCGTTGCAATGAGAAGTGTGATGCCAGTGACATATTTAACAGATAACCGGCTTAGAGGAAGGAGTCTGCCCACAACTCCTCATTCTTGTGCTACAAAAACAAGTCTCCAGCATCTCTGTACTGTATGTTGTTTTCTACTCTGACAAGCATATTGTCCTCGCATACCTTAGATGCATTCATAATGGAGCTGTTTTACAAGACATACGAGATTCCTCAAGAGCTTAAAGGCTGGTCTATGTGGAATGCTCCACACAATGCACAGACCTCATAAGAAAGCATGAAGCTTTCAGAAATCTGCACCAGTACTTCAAGGCACCTAAGACTGTGAAGCTGAGTGTTTTTCAGGTAAAGGCGTGACTTCATGAAAGAAGCAACAGGCCCCAACAGAAGATTTGTTTCCAGTTGAGCAGAGATCGAAAGTAATCAAAATGTAATTCCAAGAAAAAAAAACATTGTTACATAAAACGTCCAAAGCAATGTCAACTGTAATTAGTAATTGATCAATTATAACCCTTCCCCTGCACGATGAGTAACATGCAGCAGAAAACTCTCTCACATTATGCAATATATTCAACGTTCATAGTATACATCTGTGTAACTCATTATACAAAGTATTATAAAATGTGCACGTATGTAAAAAAAATCCATTGTAAGGGGGACTGTGTGCAAGACGATTTAAAAGGAAGCATTCCTGACAGCCTTCAGTCCTGCTTTGTCATCCAAATCTTTACGCACCCTGGGACTTCAAGATTCAAAATGACACCTTCCAAAGGAATTTGACGTTTCACAGAAAAGGATCCAAAAATGCGAAGAAAAAAAAGAACAGAACAGTGCAACCCTCATTGCAATCAGGTGTCAGCTCCACACAGATAATTCCCCGCAAATATATTTTGCCACGGTAACAATTCGCCGCTGGACCTTGATCTTAGTTGCTGCGCTCTTAACAGCGGGCGTTTTCCTCATGCCGAGCGAATAGTTTTGGAGCAGTTGCGAATGCACCCTAAGTGTATGGAGTTGGGTATGTTCTCTCCACCCCCAGCAGACCCGGTGTCGCCGTGCTGCGGCTCGGCTCTTTCTGCCCCACGGACCTCGGTAAACATGCAGCTTCCTGTCACAGTGAAGAGCGCGACAAGGGTGATCGACAGTGTGAAGCGCTGCTGAGAATCTTGTGTGTCTGAGGGGGGGATCGGGAAGCGTGAAATAGGAGGGGTGGCGGGGGGAGGGAGAGAGACTGTATAACTGTCGCTCTCTTCGCTTTGGAGAGCCAGTGCCTGTCTCAGGCGGTTATGAGCAAAGACGGTCCAAAAATGAGCTATGTGTCCACTTTAAGGATTAACCTGAAGCCCCCAGAAGACAGAGGGATACCGAGAGCCTTTGGCAATGGAGCTCCAGCCACGACTGTCTCCAGGAAAGCCCGAGCGGACGGCTCTTCTGCAGCAGGTAGGACCGTGCGCGGCGCTGGTTAGGTGAGGATGGAGCGAGCTGGCATGACGCGCGGGAGGGCTTCGGAACAGCAGCACGACTTCTGCGCTGGATTTGCAGGTCCATGGTGTCAAACTGCTGCAATTTCGTGTTTACTTTAGGGTTCGTCCACTTTTGCATGGGTAGTCTATAAAATGCAACCTCATTTTTTTTTAACCAGAAGGAATATTTTGCTTTAAGCATTATACATACTGTATTACTGAAATTCTGTGCACAGTCCTGGTTCTTCTTTAAATACGACAAACTGTATGGTCCAAAGTGCTGAAAAAAGTTAACTGCTTTCACTTTCATTTTTCAATCTTTAAATAGAAGTTTTAATTTAGTTTTAAAAGAGTGCTTGGAATATTATTTTCTTTAGCAGTTGTTCGCAGACAATTTACAGAAAACGTTAATACAGTTGTTATTCATATTGCGTATAGCATACATACAATATTGAGAGCTTTAATAAAGAATATCAGTTCAATTAGCTTTGAACATGTACTCGGAATCACTTTAAATTAATGAATGACGCATCGGACTCCTACCGTTAGGCATTTCTTAATTTTCTAGTATGCTGATATCTGAGATATTAATCAAGATTGAACTTTCTGCCTGCAATGGCTTCTTTATGTTTAGCAAGTCCAACACTTATAACCCTTAGCTCTTGTCTTTGAATGTACAGTTTTTAAAAAACGAGTTCTTTCTGTGAGCTGAGGGAATTTGCGAAAGTACCAGAGTCGCTACAAAACTAGCACCAGTGTTCTCTAAACATAGATGAGCCTATGAACATAGTGTGATGCTGCCGCAAAATGTTAAAACTGAGATGATATGATTTACTAACATAAAACTAAAAAGAAAAACTATAAAGAAAAAAGGGACTGTACCTAGGGAGTAATTAAACATAATTTATTCTCCAAACGTTTCCTCATACTTAGATATTTCAGATCAAGAGGATCTGAAACAAAGCCTTCGTCACCAACCATTAACCTGTTCCAAGAATATCATGTACATTTTTGAAGGCTCTAGAAAAACATGTGCCTAGTTTTATTTCCTGTTTAAATGTTTCTTTTGCAAGTGGTTAATTATTATTGATGAAGACTGTGTTGCCAAAATGTTGAGGCATTATTTTAGTTGCTGCTGTGCTGAATTCAAGCAATGCCTAGATTGGACATCTCACATGACAAAATAATGATTATTTGTTTCTCTGTGTTCATACAACACACCTGCTAATCAAAATTCAAAACACACGATGGCATTTCTTGGAAGTGTATGGACGATGTTATTATCTTCTTGGAATATGAAATTCTGTCCTGCGTCAGCATGTGCGGGCTGCAAAGAAGGCCCGAAGGAGGCTTCACAGCCGAATCTTTGCGTTTCCTTTCTTCTCTTTTCCACATGGAATAAACCTTTTACTAGCATGGCTGTCTGGCAGTGCTGGGGCCCCTGGTTCAGTTCTGGGCCTGGGGTGCAGTCTGTGTGGAGTTTGTGTGTTCTCCCCATGTCCGGGGGCCCGGGTGTGAGTGTGTGTGTAACTGTGTCTATGTGTGTCCTGCAGTGGACTGGCGTCCTGTCATCTTGCGCCCATTGTTTTCTGAGATAGGGTCTGGCTCCCCCACCCTGAACTGGATGAAGTGTTTAGAAAATGGATGACTGGGTTTAAGGTTCCTGTAGTATTGCAAAGTGCTGCACTGGGGGCTTTGAGGGCTGCAGTTGGCTCTGTAATGTATTCTGAGGCACAAAATGAATACTCGTATTTTTCCTTTTATTCCTTTCCAATTGTTTCGTTCTTTATACATTCAATTTTACAACCCCCAATCCTCATACAAATATACAGACCTCCCTTGAAATTTCTGCCTCCTTTGAAACTGCATGTCCCCATTGCAGAGTTAGGATATAGGACAGAGGACTGGTGCAGATCCCACTAATCTTCCAACATTTGAATATCCAAGACTCCCAGCAAGATTTGGGGATCTGATGTCCAGCAAACTGAGAAAATCTTCAATGGGTTAAAACCCATCTACACCTGACTTCTCTGGCAATTTGTAACGTAGTCCTGGGAGAAACCCAATCACAGTTTACTAAACATACAGCCTGAATAAGAACCTGTGATATCTGCAGTACTGGCCTGATCTGCACTCCAGACTGAGGCCTGAACCTTCTGCAAACATGATTTTATATCCTCATGTCAAGTCAATGCACATACATTCAAAATGAGGTAACATGCAGAAAAAAAAAAACTTGCATCTAATATCTGAAATTGATTAAACCACTTAGAAATGGAAGATTTGATCACTTTCATCCCCAGAAAGATGTATGTAAGCTGCTTTTAAATCATTATGATCTGGAGTAAATATCAGGTCATTCTTTAGACCAACTGTATTATTATAAAGGTAAAATATGGGAGTCTGTGAGCATTAGTGGAAAGCTGGTACTGTTTATTGACTCTTGAGATTTACATAGAAAAAAAATGTTTGTCCATCTGAAGCACTTGGCAACTTAAAGCCATCTGTTAACTCTAAAATATCACAATGCTCAGTAGCACCTCAGCACAGAAGGATTAGGTCTATGCTGCTTTTTAAAGTGTTTTTATCATGAGGGCTTCTGAGCATGTGGCAGTTTTATGACACACATGTTTTATTGACACATTTCAGCTGCCACACTTGCCTTTTCACAGCACCCAACAAACGTGTAGGATTTCTGCTAGTGTGTTGAGCTGCATTTCAAATTGTGATTCAGTTTTCAGGGAGGCAGGGTGAGTCCTAGCCTGGATTAGGCTCTGACTCCCCCACAACACTGTACTGGATGAAGGGGTTAGAAAGTGGAGAGGTGCATTAAAATGCTACAAACATGTTGGTTTGAACAACAAATTTGTTCAACAAATTTGGAAATTCTAATAATATAACCTTTGAGTCTCATTTACAACATAGTGAAACAGATGCAGGAATTTGGTTTATTACTTATTACGCCCAATATATAGCCACCATTTGATGAATACTGCATTGTGTTTCATGTGCAGAGTAACATACTTACTGTTATTAGATTATCGTGCAAACGTAAACAATCTGTTGATTTTGGAGACCTAACCTGGAATCTTGGCACAGATACTGTACATGCCCTCACATTTAACATGTGACAGCTTTATTGCAACAAAGTATAGACTAGGTACATTATAATTAATCAAAGTGACTGGATTGATTTCCTAAGAAAAGAAAATGCTTCAGACAAAAACAAAACAAACAAAACATTTTCCATGGACAGTACACCTGGGATTCTTGTGGAATTGTGTAAGTTGTATATGCACTGTAGGAATGTGGAAAGTGACATGATTCCTGAATCCACAGTTTGTTTATCTCCTTTATAGGTTTCTTAAAGTGAAAGTGCTCTAGTTTCTCTAGAATCTTGGCACGGTCGTTATGTTCTTTTGCCAGACTTTGATCTAACCAATACTTTACTCGGCAATCGTGCTGAAATACGTATTTGAACCTTGACTGATGATTAAAAATTTGTCCAGGATTAGTCCCTGATCTCAATGCTTTAGAAACACATTTCAGCCGAGTTTCAAAATTGCTTCACACCTGAGGAGAAGAGGTCAATTCATTCCAGCTGTAGACTGGAGAGACTGGAGGATGTCCTTCTGCTGTGTTTCAGAATAGAAAATGAACTGTTGGATGCTTTTACTGAGCTTTTAAAGAGAAAATGTTTTTTCCCTGCTTAGAGCACATTTTATGTATCAGACTGCAGAGCACAGAAATATGAATGGACCTCTTACAACTACAACTATCTGCTGAAGGCAGAGCAATGCAAAACTCTCTGCCATGGTTAATATTGTGCATTGTTGATACATAGTCTTGCAAATAACAACATTCTCATTTTGCCTGGGGAAGGAAGTAAAAGTACCTGTATTGTTGGTACAAAACTAAATAAACTTTGCTTAGTGTGGAATGAATGTTGCACAAAGGCTCATTTTTGCAAATCATTAATCAATGACCTCTTGTATGCCACAACTGAGGTTTTATCAAGATCAGAGTCAAATTAAGCACCAATACGTTTAAGAACTGAAATTGTTTATTGAATTGTTTAGTGTTTGGAACTACAGTATTACGGTAAATATCCATGGTGTTCAGGTGAACGAAACTCCAGCATATCTGGTTCTGTCACTTTATTTAAGCAGCTTTATTATGGTTAAGGGCCTACCCATTACACACTATAACACTATAACACTATTCCACTCTTTGGAGACTGTGTTACACTAATGATTTTCTACCAAATGTTTGAAAACAACAGAGCTGTGTAATCATCAGTGGTGTCTGTTGGGAATTTTTCCCCTATGAGGCATATGAGGCAAAGGTGAAACTCCAGCAACGTAGCTCTGACTGGTGACGGCAGAATTTGTGATAAGAGAGAGAAACAAAACAGATTTATTAACTACTTCATTTCTGTAGCTCAAAGATGTGCTGAAAGGCAGAAATATCCAGTACACCTTGAGGGCGCTCCGCTTCTCTCCTGTTCCTAGTTCCCTGTGATTATTCATGTCTTTCTGGTGTGTTCTGTTGTGTAGCCTATTTACTTCCTGCTTCTGCTCTGCTCCTTCGCTCAGCATGGAAAGTGCTACAGTATATGAATGCAGAGAATCATCTTCCAGGTTTCATTTACCCTAAATAAATCTAGTGAACACAATATAATCTCTCAACATTGAAATGAGAAGCTTCAGTGAAAATTCTGTTTTCATTAGATCCTTGTTTGGACAGTACGTTTTCAGTTTATACAGTTTCGGAGAACAGCACCGGGCAAAATTGACTAGGGTGAAAGAAGCTGGCCTGTGTGAGTATTTTCTCTTGTTTATTAGCAGTACAGCCGTGGGGTTCATGTTGCCTGGAATGTAGTTTCAGCAAGTGGCAGCATGTTTAATCATTAGCAGGCGAAGAGAGACAAAGGTTGACATTTGACTATTTAAGGTCTTCTCATACCATATGAGTTCC